ATATATATATATATATATATATATATATATCTATATATATATATATATATATATATATATATATATATATATATATATATATATATATATATATATATATATATATATATATATATATATATATATATATATACACCCTCCGTCCCAAATTATAATGGATGTTCATTATTCACCGGATCAAACTTCATTCACTTTCTTTCTCAATTTTCATTAGCAAATTGATAAAATAAAGTATTGTTGTCACTATTAGTTTTGTAGATCTTTTGATGTATTATTTTAATATGTAATTTTTATTTTTTAACTATATACCATTTGTCATATAAAATGATTTGAAAATAATTTCAGTCAAACATCGTAAACCAAAACAGGCGTTATAAAATAGGACGGAGGAAGTATAATTTATTAAAAATGTTTGAACCAAAACAGTGCCTTGACCGGTTCGGTTCTGAAAACTCTGATTAACCGTATAAAAATGGATCTTCTCTAGATAATAAACATCTCCGTATTTCAAGAATAATACATGGATAATACTAGTATTAGACATATAGTTATGCACGAAATTTTAATTCAATTCAATAACAAACACTTCTGTTTTACTAAAACACGGTCGGAATTGCGGCCCACTCGGGGAACGGTGTATAGCTTTACCATCAGATGAGTATCTAATTAGTTAAGGAAAAAAATATAGGCATCTCCAATAATATATCCATCACTTAAATTACCTTGATTCCTATGACATTGAAATTCAATGTCCTTGGATGATTCGAAATTCATACGATGCTCTGTTCGAAAATATGATGGTTCCCACCCTCTCCTAACCCTCCCAATAAACCCCTCATCCCGGCCCTGCCCAGCCCGACCATACCCCCCGCCCCCTAATTAAATAATTTGCCCAAAATAGTTTAGACATTACTACTCCGTATTAGATTTGTAAACCTGTCGATTAATCACAATAAATTTATTAAACCATTCTATTTATGTTTTTACTATATTCGGTGCAAATGTCAATTAATTAATTAATTAATAATACCATAATTGTACTAGGGGATTTAATGAATGCCCAGATTCACATCCCATATATAATCTCTGATCAAATCTCCATAAAACCTTGTTTCTAAATATACAAATATGGCAACTGACCACCGTAATAATAAACTCAAAACTCTCATATTAATATAATTACGGAGTAATCATCTTGTTGAATTGGGCAATCTAAGAACCTCACCACAATGACAAGAAGAGCCAACAATTAGCTAGCCGGACATGGACGGCAACAACGACTGGGATCTTTCTGCAGTTGTGAGGAGAAGAAGTTGCAGAAACGACAACAATGGCGATTCTAGTAAGTATAACACCCAATGTGTCGATGATGATCACGGCTTTCCTGGACGACAAGAGCCAGAGAGCCGTGATGATCATATAAAAAGATGCTACTTCGGCTTAGAAGAAGTTGTTGACCGCTTCATCAACCGAGAGAAGGAAAGTGGGAAATTGGGCGAAGGTTCGGGGAGGGAGGGCCCACAAGCCGATCAAATGACCACCCCGTGCCCGGCGGCTCTGAAGCCACAGAGCCGGCGGGGAATGTTGTCGTCGGGAAAAGAAGTGCACGTGGTTGAGGTTGCGCGGGAGAAGGTGGAGGAGTGGGACGGGTGGGTGTGGCGCAAGTACGGGAAGAAGAAGGTGTGTGATTCGCCGCATACGAAGAGTTATTACCGGTGCAGCCACGAGGGGAACAACAAGTGCCCTGCAAAGAAACATGTCCAGCAAAGTCTAGGGGACGAAACCAAGTTCGTCCTTACTTACAGAGGACAGCACAACCACCTTCCTCCTGTCCAGAGCAATGCAACCAAACGTAGGAAGAGGAACACAACTTCCTAATCATCCTACCTGAGAACCTAAGGGTCCGTTTGGTACACGGAATTGACGGAGTTGGAATCAAAATTTTATTGAATTGAATTCTCCAATTCCAATTCATGTTTTGCACTACCAATTCCAAATCTGCATATTTTTGTGCTACCAAACAGCAGAATGAGAATTGAAGATCTCAGTTCCAATTCTGTGGCTTGAATTCTGTATATCAAACGGAGCTTAAATGTACAATCTTAGCTTACCATGTTTATCTTCTAGAAAAGAAATATATAGCTAGTTTCGCCGTGTCTATTCTCTTGGATTAGAAGAAATTCATTTATATTGCCATGAATGGTTAGTTCTTGCTCCACATATTTGATTCGAAAATAGCAAAGACTTATAGAATTCAAGAGTAAAGATGAAGAAGAATGATACAGGCTTACATGGTTATAACATTATTATGAAAGTTGAAGGTGAGGGAATGGTTGTGCTACCAGTTGTCCTTTGCGATTTTTGACTTCTCGAGTATGAACTTGCCTTCTTTGTACTTTTGTGTGGCCTCGTATGCTCGTTCATACTTCCAACCTAACAGCTCATTGCAATCCCTGCAGAATACATCTGCAACGGTGTGAACACCAGTCATGAGATTCCGGTCTTCTTTGGTTCCCACAGTTATGTTCATCACATGAGAGAACAGAAAGGCTCTCCCGTTCCTTCCCTGTAAATTTTCAACAACGCAAGAGATATGATTAAACATTTAACCAAAGTGACAAACAACAATTTATTGGCAACAATAAACGCTCTCCAATTTGTGTCTTTGCACAACAGCAGAAACAATAAATGCTCTCAAATTTGTGAGTGCGCAAAACAGCGTATTGGACCTTTATGCTCATTGTAGCTACTCCAGAAGCAGTAGATTTCTTCAAGCCTTTCGGAGTAATTTTTTCTATAATAGGTGAAAATGAGGGGATGAACTCCTATTTCATACTCATCACCATGGCCATAGCCACACTTCTTCAAGGCCTTCTTGGAGTAGGTGTAGGCGGTGTAGCTTATTCGATCACGGGTTTCACAGCCCACCCAAGTTCAGTCCTTCAAAAAAACTTCTATAGGCGTTTTTGTATAAAAATTTAGATGAATCCATTATCTTTTCTGGGTGTTTTTGAAGACTTATTGGCTAGATTTTGTCACCAATCCTATCTTAACTTGCCAAAACTACATAAGACTTTTCACAAGCCAAGATTATGATTAAGATAAACTGTAGTGTTGATTCTTTTGAATCACAAAATAGATTTATAAGCCTATTGATCCACCAAAATCTGGGCCTATTTTGGATGATATTTTCATGGTCTGGCACAAGCCCAGGGCTTTCCATGGACCAACCGACTCAGCCTCTCCAACATACCCATATATGCAGAGATCATCAGAATTTATCGGTCTAGGCCCAAAGAATTTGAGTGCTTCTATCGCGCATCTATGGTGCTCCATTAATAAACAAATGATCACCCGTTATGTGCACCTAAGGTGAATATAAGAATTTGTCAAAGAGTTCTTATGCCTCCACAACAAGCACAATAGATTGGGACCATATAAAGAAATCACACATACATCAAGAAATTACAAAGCAGAAAGAATAATTGCCATAAATAAACAAAAGAATGAAAAAGGAATTCACCCATTCACCTGAAAGGCCTTTGAGATTATGTCATCATGAAATGAGACATGATTTCTGCATTTACAGCAACAGTATAAACGAGGCCCAACCATATCATCCATTGGAACAGAAATCCTATGAACAGAAAGAAGTGCTAATAAAGATTGAAACTTTATACCATATTATGTAATAACACTGCAGAACAATAAAAAAAATTGGGACTAATAATAAAGATTTTAACAAAATAGAGCACTGGAAAGTAGCAATTAAATCTCAGTGGAGAAAGGGAATAAGAAACCCTTTAACTCGAATGGAACTGATGATTGCCCAGAACGCTACAATGAATTAATAGAGTAGCGTATAGAAGTGGATTGATAAAGACTGGAAATACTGGATCGTTTCCCTCTTCTTTTCTTCTTTTTTTTTCTCCTTTTTTTTTTGAATAAAGAAAAAAATTTAAAAAATTATATTGAAATATTTGCACTAAATAGCACTAAAACTTAAGTCATTTCCCTAAATAGCACTTAAATTATTTTATTCCTTAAATAGCACTTAATAATGTCTATAATGTCTAGTAATGACAAATATTTGCTTGAATAATGACTAATGTATAATGACTAAAAGTGCTACATCAGGAAGAAAAACACATGTGATGTTATTTAAGAAAAGTCATTATGTTTTAGTGCTATTTAGGTAAATTCCTCAATTATATTTAGGGAGTACTAGTACTAGGTATACGTGGAAGGAGCAAAATCTGTTTTGTGTAGCGGTGACGAGAAGCTGAGTTGTTGGAAAATACAACCACTATCTACAATTAGGGGTTATTTATCTCGTATCGATACTGTATCAAATATTTCGATTCAATATGGAATTTTATTTGATATCTATTCCGATCTCGAAATATCAGTTCGATATAATTCGGGATAGTTTAGTATCAATTTCGGTACAAATCTTGATAAATATACATACCTATTTTACACCTTAAAATTTAACAAAACCCTTTTATTTCTGAAAATTAAAAGTAAATTTAAATGTAAAAAACATGAAAAATTTAAAAAAAAAATTAAATGCAAGAGATGTGTATCAAAACTTAGTTTATATTTCACAAACTAAAAAAATGAACGACAACAAAGGAGTATTTTGAATCTTTGTGAATACTTTTATGTTTATACACAAAAACTAAAACTTAAATAAAACTATAATTTACACATAATAGAACTTGAACCAATTTTTTTTTAAAAATTTATTGTTTAGTGAAGGAATATAAAAATATTACTCCTGGGTATTATTTTTTAAAATGTTATAGTTTATATGTTCGGCTCGAGATTTTCGATATAGGACGTCACCTTGTATCGTTCCAAATACCATATCGACCATTCGGTTTGGTACAGTTCGGTTCCTTCTCAGTACTTTTTCGCTTCGGTATTTTTTAGTTCGGTATTCTCGATGTTTTCGGGAAATTTCAGTATCGGTTCAATACTTGCCCATCCCTATCTACAATAGTGAATAAGATAATGTATGCGGAGATTTCAGTATGATGAGCTATTTTATATAATTGAATTTATTATATTAAATACGGAGTAATGATTTTAATAGACGTTGTTAACGAGTTCTGATGTGCCAGCCAGAAAATCACAACACTAGAATATTTGATGATATTGGATTGTTAGTATTCCAATATTGAATGTTTAGCAATTGGACCCATTGAATCACACGCAAATCACTGCAAATATTTGAATCTTTGAAATGTTTGAATAAACATTCAAATGTTTACGTTGTGTTTTTTTCACCAACAACCATGTCGAATTAGTTATTTATCTACATCTATAGAGACTCACGATATGTTTGCCGTGAGGAAACATTCTTATCTAATTGCAGTATTTTTTGTTTATCGGGGTTAGGGATAGGAACTGTCAATTTGATGAACAAGACACGGGAGCACTCCGAGTCATGACATTGATGACTATGTAGGAATACCCATAGCCTTATTATCACTCTCTTTGTTCTAGTGTATTTTGTTAAATTAGATTTTTTTGAGTCAAACAAGATGAAATTAGAGTTTTAATTGAACAAAAATTATAACCCCTCTGTCCCACAAAATCTTTCTGATTTTAACTTTTAAAAGATTTAAGAGAAATGTATTTTTGTTTTAACTTTTCAAAAATGTTCTTTGATGTGATGCGTAAAGATAGAATGTGATGAATAGATTAATAGTGAATAAATGTGATGTGATGTGATAGGTAGGTTAAGAATTAGAAGGAGTAAAATGGCTTTTTAATAGAAATGAGAAAGATTTTTTGAGATAGATGAAAAAAAAGAGAAAAGTTTTGTAAAACGAAGGGAGTAACATATACTGTATTAGTATAAAAATGATTTTATTAGACTTGTATTGTTGCGAACTTTCAAAATTTTATTTCATTATAATAATATGCGATACAAATTGAGAGTAATTGATAATTAAAATTTGTCCAGTTTAACTCTAAAAAGTTAAAATTGACAAATACAGTAGAACGAAGATACTATTAAAATAGTGAGTATTACAAGGCAGAGCTCTACAATGCACTGCAGTCACAGAGATTGAATTCCCATTCACTGACGATTTACAAGCATATTTAAGTCTTTTTCTTTTGGGTTGAAAAATCTAACATATAAATTTTTTCAAACTTGTTCCAGTTTCTTCTAACTCTTTCTAAATCCTTCTTACTCTTTCTAATTTCTTCCAACAATAAAATAAAAATGATATTTATATATGATACGGAGTAATATACAATAACAGTATATATCTAAATTTAAAACATAGCATAATGAAATCTTTTTTATCTAAAATTTGAATTTTCTTACATATTTATTTAGATGATCATTTAATTGAGTGACTTTTAAACACTTTAATTCTTCCAACATTTTTCAACTCCTAGTTTTTTCCACATGCTTCCAGTCTCTTCTAACTCTTTCTAATTTCTTCAAACTGAAATTCCAACCCAAACGAATAGGAACTTATAGTAGGAACTGAGAGACAGGGCCATGTATTGGGCACGTGGTATGTGTTGGATAAATTGAGTGTGGAGGCTCGACCAAAAAGGGCAGTCGGTCCTAGTCTTGGTTCGATCCATATATGGTAGACTGCAGTAAGTTCGGTTTTTAATTTAGCGACCCTAATTCTCTATGTGGGCTTGAGCGTAACTTGGGGATTAATCTTATAATGCTAGTTTAGTCTTCGATAACACGAGATGAAGAGCTCCAATTGACGTGAAAATTGAACAGATTGAATCCCTTTGTGTTAGGAACAATCTCTTGAAATTTCAGCCCGATCGGAGCAGCGCATCTCCGGCAATCCATAGTTTCGTTCCAGGAAAAACAGTGCTGAATTTTTCTTCAAAAGATACTGCCTCCCCTGTTTTCTTCAACTCTTTTTTTTTTCTTCAAAAGCCACTAAAAAACACACACTCAAACTCTCTCCTTTCAAAGCTTGGGCCCTCCACAAAGAAAACAACAGGAACAAAAAATGGGGCTTGACCCTCAACAACACAACAACCATGGAAGTAGATCAACAAATAGTATTGTTGATCATATATCTTTACAAAAAAATTATTGGGAGCCACATGTTAGGGTTACAGGGTACCATGAGAATACACCCTTACATATCGTAACTGACACTAGGAAAACCCACAATTTTATGAATCAAGGTATAGTCAAACAACTAAATTGTCATACCAGCCAAATCATGGAGTAATTCATCGGTCATGTTCTCTTCTAGGTACAAATTCTGATCTGACCTGAAAGTACTTATATTTAAAGTTATTTTTGATCTGATCTGGTCTGATTTTATTCTAATAAAAATAAGTACTCAAAGGGAATCGCTGATCTTCCGGCAGAATAATAAGTAAAAAAATTAGTTGAGGAGAACATGATCTAGTTAACTACACTATTGCCATTGGAAAATAGAAATATTGTCTTAGGGGTGCAATGGTTTAATGCCTTGGGCGGGATAGTGAAGATATTTATTACAGGTTTTTTGCAACATATGAAAACCTCTTCATGCCTTGATATAAAATAAAAAAAATACATCCATTTGGAATGAAGCAACAACCAAATGGCTGACAGAACTAACTACTCTTTTGAGTATTCTTTTTTATATAAATAAAGACTTGCTTATAATTTGCCAGTTGTGATGTTGAACAATACAAATTCTCTTGTTATGACTTCCAATAGTTCTCTAGATTGACAATTCTCTACTTGAAGGTTTGATCTTCCTGGAATCAGTGTTCAATCATCCACCACTTTTTTGAGCCATCAAGGATTCAATTGTTTGCCACCAGTTATTTTTCATCAATTGTTGTTCACTTTGAGCAATCTTCTTCTTGTTTTTTTTTGACTGGTTAATTGACAGTGGATTTATATGAATGGCATTCTTGATTGTTTGTTTGGTGTCCAATCTAATGACTCAAAACAAGTTTTGCATATTACTCTAATTCTAAGTTCTAAGCAATTGTATATTTGCACTTTGTTCTCACAAGAACACGAGTGACACCCTTCTGCTACCGTAACTAACTATGCACTATATTATAGCAAGTCATATGGAACATGTTTTAGTCTTATTTAGGTATATCCCTTCCACAATAAACCGTATATGGTTGGAAAGACATGGAAAAAACAATACACTCTAACAAACAAGTGCCATTAGACACTTATCGTGAGAACAAGACTAGGAATTCATGGAATGCGAAGAATTACAAAACCGAACAATCCAAATCACTAGAACAAACGGCTATCTGAATCTGAATCATTCATTCGGATGTATACGGATCTTACGTACTGGTTCTTCTTTTTGTTTTCTTTACTAACAATGTTGTCTCAAGGAGCATCGAGTGCTGGATCAGCCTCCGTGTCCATCAGTGGTGTCCAGTTTTCAACCTCTGCATGCAATTAATTAGGCCCCGTTATAACATTGACTTATACAATTCACTCAAGCCAAAACCTTAGGGTAAAGGGAAAAAAAACTCGGGACTGTTGGGAGTAAATTGCAAAGACAGAATTATAGTGAAAAAATTAAAACAGTTTCAAACTCAATAAATCTCCTTCTAATGTTTGTTCACACAAATTTCATTTATTTAATTGTCTACTTAGTTTTATCATATAAAAATCTAAAGATAATATTCATCATTTGCCAATGGAGCTCTTGTATGGTAAGAATTGGCCCTAAAAATTAGGGGATCCTAGTCACCAGTTTAGGTAGCCTGCCCCAAATAACAGATAATAACTTACTTGGCTTTTCTGCAATAATAGCTCTGAGACGCCTCTGTAAGATGGCTGCCACAAATAGGAAGATTGAGCACATGCCAAACATGACGCTGATGGGGAATGCCGCAACCTTCATTAAAACATGTTTAAATAAAGTTCAGAAAAAAAAAACATGTTGCCTTCAGAAAAAATGTCCCAGAACTAACAAATAACAAACACGAGATTCATATTTTAATAACATACATTGTACAGAACTATGCAAACAAAGAGGTTGAGAGGAATCCTGAAGAAGTTCATTATGGTGCTCCTCGACTCCTCCGGAATGTATTGGGATCTCATCTTCATTATGGAAGGCCAGAAGATTCCCACACAGGCCTCAAATGTACAGAAACCGAAAACCAGGACACATCCTGCAAATGAAATGCCTCCCCCTTTCACCTCTGAAGGAGCTATCAACCACTGTTGCATCAAATAATAGCAGTTGGGTGATGTAGATATAAGTTTTAAGCTCAACTTAGTCACTTGACTATAGTACTATACTGAATTTGGTCTTTGACTTTTTATTGAACACGTTTTGTTGTTGCTCACAAAATTTGGGCCCAATTTAGTCTTCGAAATATTTTGTTCTGAATAAGAAGGGTATTTTGCCAGTTCCCTAAACTTTGGCCCAATTTATTACTCAATTTGTCTCTCAAGTGCATAATTTAGAACCAATTAGTCCTCAGCGCACTAAAATGAAGTCAGCAAACCAAATTGATTATTAGTGCATACTACGTAGTTGATTGATCAAAATGAGAATTAACAATAAATAGAAAGAGACAACTGAACACTAAAAATAGTTTATTGGGACTTACATTTGTCACAATTGGCAGCAGGAGAGACGCAGAAGAAACAACAAACACCACTTGCATGTAACTCTCAACCTTAACTGCATTACGGGTCAGAAGGCGAGATGCAACTGAGCTTCCTAACATTGATGCTAACATAAATGTTGCAAAGATAAATCCATGAGGAATTTCTTCATCATTTGGACTAAGAGCAGGAGTCCATAAAAACACAAAGGTATACATTGAGCCCTCAAACAAGGATTGTATAGCACCCAACAGTGCAATCTTCTCATCTGATGGACATATAAAACATACAACTAAGTCCAATGCCAAGAACCAAGTCATTAAGATGAAATCAAAAAACCAAGGAAATGATAAGACATAGTTTTTGTTAAAACCAATCAGTCTCCCTATGGCCTACCTGAAGCAATGGCTACAGAAGCATTCTTGAACTGAGTTAGTAAATCTTTGTTATCTGATGGATCTCCATAGTTCTCAGTCCACGATGATAATATGATAGCCATCCCAAGGGCAAGAAAACATGAAGCCGCATCAAAAGGTGACACAGGTCCAAGATTTAATGTATCAACAAGAAAATTTCCAAACAAGCCAGACACGATGGCAATAAGACCATTTCCAAGAAATATTGCCTTGGAGAATGTAATAGAAAGCCACTGCTGATCGAATCCTCTCTGTCCACAGTAAAAGCCAAAAAGATCCAGTCAGTAGCTTGAAAATAACATCCCATAGCCCAATACATTGTATCAAATTCTGGTTGCAGATTCAAATTTAAAAAGAACTCATAATAAAACAAGTTTGTAGCATAATATAGAGTATTTTGCTACTTTATTTAGTTGGTTATTCTCTCTAATTTCTCTATTTTACATTGGTTTCCATTTAAAATTATATTAGAAGAGTCCTTAGGAGTTTAATTGTATGGAGTGACTTTAATTCAGTTTAGATGTACTTCAAAAAAAGTTATCATATTGTAACATGAGAATAGATGAAGTCCACACAAGAAAGTTCATTGGACTACATCGATATCAATTCATGATGCCAAATTATGTCTGAACATAAAACTTCAATACAACATATCTTCTTTTCTCAGGTGTATAATGTCCAAGAACCCTCACCTTAAAATGCTCTGCTACTAGCCAAGACTCAAATGATGAGAAGAGGAGAGATGTGGCAATGCCACCCAAGATACGTCCCAACATTAAGACTTTGTAATGAGGGGAATGCTTAGTGATGCAGCTGAGTATGTAAGTAATGCAATAAGTGACACAAGCTCTCTTTCGTCCCCTGATAAAAATGAAACAAGCAATTCATCACATACAAGTGAGTATCCATGCATATATACACACGCTGTAAATTCATGGGAGCATCTCACTGTTTGTCGGCAAGAGATCCAACTATTGTGCCGAACAACATGGAAGAGCCAAAACCAGCAATAAAGAGCTGCCCAATCTCTCCCTTTCCATATCCATATGTGGTGTAAAGGTAGTATACATATGGACCCTGCAACCAATCACCGGCTATCTCCAAAACAAAACAATAAAACAAGCATCAAGCACCTGAATGTTGTTCTTCATCAATATCCATCGATAACAACACATGAAAATGAAGCATTAGTGAAATAAATACTATCATGACCCAAAGCTCTAACACAAATCGTCTCTTAGTTTCCTAAACAAGAGTGAGCTAGCCTTGGATTTCCAGTCCTAGAACACTTACTCCGTACATCAACCATTAAAATCTGCCGAATTAAATGCAGATCAAAACGATCACTAGACCGAAAACAGTAAGATAAACTCAACGAATAGCTCCGATTTCCACCAAATCGCAACAAATATAGATCAGATCATGCATAAATATGAGCGAATCCAACAAATCTCAGACAAAACGATCCGAAATGCCAGATCTATTGGTATAATAACAACGATGATGCAAAGCAGGCGATGCATACCCATCATGAGAGAGTAGACAACGAGGTAATTGTTCTTGAAAGCATTGAAGGCCTGAGACGTTGTGATGCGATCTTTGCTCGTCTTGCTCAGCTCCAGGGCGGCCACCACTGCCGCCAAGCCGCCAAACACCGTGTAGTAGAAAAGCTCCATTTTCTTCAATCAAATCCTCGGTAAGCTCTCAGAGCTGAATGCAGAATTCGCACACACTACAACATTAGAGGTTGTAAAGAGGAGCGATCGTGCATTCTGATCTCATGCTGGATGGATTTGGGAAAATATATACTCCGTATATATATATACTCGTATTTACATACTCACCCCTCCAATTCTCACGGTGAAGTAATAGGAGTTGAACTCCTTCATTAATTACTCCCAAAAATAAAATTTACATTTTTCTTTACATCAAATAACATGAGAACCTCTCCTGATTTAGAAAATACGCACTAAGGGGGTGTTTGTTTTTTCTGCAAAAAAAGGTCTGCAGTATGCGGACCACTACTGTAGACATCTGCAGGAGAAGTGGTGGACCGAAGGTCTACGGTCTGCAAGAAGAAGACTGTTTGTTTTTTAATGTCTCTAGACTGCTATATAAATTAATGGTGGTAGTGTACGGTGATGGTGTATGGACGATTGTGGTGGTAGTGGAGGGTGGTGGTGAAGGGTGGTGGTGGACGGTGGTGGTGGACGGTGGATGGTGACGGTGGTGGTGGACGACGATGGTGATGGAC